CAGAAAAACACATCCTGATAACTTCTTCCTGATTCACTCTCCCCGGTTGCCACTTCACAGTCCCTTATATTTGTTTTAGTCAGAACTTTCCAGCCAGTTTTGGTGTGGGCCACATTCCACCTTTTGCTCTGTAGACTTAGGACTGCTCAGTTATTCCCCAATCAAGTGGTATTGATTTCAATCCTGCCTTCCCATATGTAAGGACAGAAACCTGGCTTCATTTTCACCTCTTAGGGGTAACAGAAACTGCCAGTTTGCCAGTGCACCCTATTTGCAATGCAACTTTTCTGAGGCCTTAGATAAAACAATATGTTTTTCTTTTACTATGAATCCATTTAGCCCCTCAACTATTGAAACAAAACTTAATAGTTAAGACTTTTTCACAATTGCAAGCCTTATTCCCACTTCTCCCTACATATATGCCTTGCAGCTGCTAATCGCCTTGGGAGAGCTGTGGGTAGCTTCAAATGGTCACCTTCCACTTGAAATATAATCAGGTGAAAGCAGTCCCTTCCTGTATTGCACATCACTGTCTCTGATTTTCTTGTGTGAGAGAAAGGGAAGCACATATCTTAAGGTGGCACTCTATAAGGACTTGTATTACCAATATTTTTACATTTCTGTGCAATTAATCCAGGGTATCCTTTTAGGTGATTTTAATTGATAAATCTTAGCCCTAGTTAACATTCTTGGGAATAGGCTGGCCCATTCCTTGCCATAAAACTTTCCTTAAGTTTCTGGTGTACTGGTCCTCCTCCACTGAACCCACGTCCACCTTTTACCCAGCACAGGACACTTATGCAACTTAAGCTGGAGTTATTACTTCCAGGCCTCCCGTATAAGACTTGGCCTCAGTGTACCCTTTTCTTGCAACTTGTGCTGAGGACAGAAGTAAAGCTCCCTTCAATTTCTTTGAGTGGACCTTACTTCTGTGTAGATACTTTGCTGTATGTTCTCTGGATTATGCCTAATGCCATTAGCACTAATAGCAGGTGTTGTTTCCTCTTGTCAATGTGATACGTACTTAAGAGACCATTTTGATTTTGTGTTAATTTACAGTCTGTGTTAATTTACAGTCTGCCTTAAGTCATGCCTTTACTGATGCTTAATGTATTCTGACCAAATACAAACCAAAGAGGTTAGAAAAGAGAACCCTGTGATAGTGTTACACTGTGGTAGCTCTCTCCTAAATTGCTGGAATGGTTCTGGGTTAAATAAAAAGTTTCATATCTTCCTGGACTGGAGAAGAGAACTATTTCCATTTGCTTATTAACCTTTCTCTATATAATCTATATAATATAAGGATGTGTGCACAATCTATGTTAAATTGTTTATGGCTTGTGTGCTTTGAAGTAGACAACATTTTAAACCTTTGAATTAAGTAATAGTTTTAGAATTTAACATACAGACTTTTGGGGATATTGACCTATTATAACACTTAGTTTCCATAGTGAATATGTTACAGTGTAAGTGTAAAACCCTGCTTCCTTCAGATGTGTTCTCTTTTATTACTGTAGATAATTAAAGCCTGTCGAGCATGGATGCTGTTGCCAGCCACAGCTGTCATCTTCTTCAGCAGCTCCGTGATCAACGTATCCAAGGCCTTCTTTGTGATTGCATGCTTGTGGTCAAAGGAGTTTGTTTCAAAGCACATAAAAATGTATTGGCTGCATTCAGCCAGTATTTCAGGTATGTGGACCAGTATAATATAGTGAAAGTAATATATGATGTATTTTAATCTCCAGCAAATTTATTTGAAAGTATTTTAAAATTCAGTGGGATTTCTGAATAAATTTGTTTAGGCCTCTGCGGCACAAGTTATATAAAGACCTTCATTCTGGGCGGAAGTGTTTTATTTTTATTCGTAAATAGTCCTGGTGATATCCATGTGCCCAGGGAAAAGATAAATATACATGTCATCAAAATGCTGAAATGGAAATTGGGGCAGCTGTAAATACACCTCCCATGTGGCCCCACTGCTTCATACAGACGATTGCTTTACATAATTATAGACTGGCTTGTGACTACCCCACACTCTTCTCAGATGACCAAGTGTGTCACTGCTTATAAGAACTGGTACTTGATGCCCGAACTAGATGGTTTTTTAGAAGATTTTAACCAGACTTTAGGAAAGTGGTTCTCAGGGTGGAGTATAACAATTAAAATCATGTCATACTATTCAAGGCAACAGCAAATCTAACATAATTGATGTGTAGCAGACAATAAAATTCAGTAAAATCAAAGTCACATGAGGGCTGTCTAATGAAAGAGAACTTCGTAGCTAGTTTGAAAAGATCTGATTGTTGAAGATGGTGAATCATGCATTAGTTGCATTTGGGACCATTTTTGACCCCAGACAGAAGTGCCCTAGACAGGAAAAAATGCTGCATATGAAAAACCTTTGTTCTAGCTGAAAATTTTATCCAGGGAGTTGTGATCAACATGAGAATGGATTTCCTCTCTCAGCAAAAGAGAAAGGCAATAGGTTTAGGGGGTGAGTATCTTATATGGTTTAAACCCTCTCTTTTTTTTTGCACTATATGGAGAGAAAGGAGCAAGATCACTATCTCCCTTTTCTGTTCTATGGAAAGGATGTGAAAGAAAATGATGTATTTTCCTTGCCCCTTGTATAGTTTGAAATTTCTCTCCCACTCTATGAGCCCTGCACATCACTACCAGGCTTCTGAGCTAGCTGGAGTCCAGGATTATTTCCTCCTACCAGTGGAAAACTGCTCAGTCCAATACCATCCTGCCTGTGTTTCTGAGACCTCATTATGCCTGCACATGTTCAAGCTTATTTTGGCATTTTTAAGGACAGGAACCATAACTTCTTTTAAATGTAAATTAAAACCTCAGACTGCAATCCTAAACCTACTTACTACATAACAATTTCTGCCTCTGCATTCTACCATGTAGGAATAATGCATTATATTTTGCTCTAGCACAAGATGCTTTTAACAAAGTCCTGACATTTCAAAAGCCACTTTTTCCTAAAGTTTTCTTGTTGCGTATCACATGCATCCCTTATATAAATAATTTTATTTTAGCAACTAAGAGAGAGAGAGAGCAGAGGCTTTAATCTGCAAACCACTTTGCTATCATGAATATCACAAATCATTCCAGGGTGGATTTGTGTATTGTAGCTTAACTCTGTGGAGGGTGATATTTTAAAAAGTATTGCCTTAACTGCTCCCATACAATGTATTGTAAGTATTGAGGAATTACCAGTTCTGGAAGTCATAACTGGAATAGCTCACAGCAACTGCACAAATTATGGATTTCAGTAAGTAACACACATTTCACTTAACTTTTTTTTAGTTAATATGTAATGCTTTTTTAAAAACCCACTTTATGCATTTGCACATTTACAGGGTTCTGCTTTTCCCTCCTAGGACCCTGTTTCAAAATTCTGCAGGCCAGAAGAATGATGTCTTTCACCTGGATATTAAAAATGTAGGTGGCATAGGCCAGATCTTGGACTATATGTACACATCTCATCTTGACCTCAACCGGGACAATGTACAAACGTTGTTGGATATTGCACAGTGTCTGCAAGTACAAAATGTTTTGAACATATGTCGCTCATTTTTAAAAACCTCCACAGCTGTAGAGCAACCAGCCAGTATACCTTGTAACGATGCCTTCTCATTGCAAAATATGACTGCAGATACTAACTGTGACAGTTATAGTACTAATTTACTGCATGTATGTTCATCCCCTGTGGAATCTTGTAAAGTCTTGGATGATCATCATCTACATGGGCCACAGCCTGTCGCACTTCACATCTCATCTGGTGATGTCAGTAAACAGAAACAAGATTCCATGGACGCTAGTTGCACAGATTGCTCGTTTAAACAGCCAAATTACCATTACAAACTCCGTAATTTTTATAGCAAACAGTTCTACAAGCAAACTACTTGTCCCAGCAACAAGAGTTCATCAGAACCATCCTTTGATTTCAGTGCCTCTGCAGAACAAAACACAGTTAAGAATGATTCATGCACCATCAATCAGTCTGAATGTGTTTTGGAATCATCCAGTCACTTATCACCATCCTTTCTGGTTCAACCCTTAAACGAGCGTTCAGAGGAGCAAGATTTAGAAGGCACATCTTTACAGCCAGCCAGAGAGATGAGGCTTAAAAAAGCTATGCATCTTAAAAAACTGAACTTCCTGCGATCTCAGAAGTCCCCCGAACAATCTTCTGTACTTAAAATTCCTAATGGAGACATTGCAAGGGAAACAGAGTTAGAAAGGGAAAGTAGCACCAAAAGTGCAAATACTGATGCCATTGAAAGAAAGGCAGTTAAGCATGTAGTGAGTTCAGAGTGCTTGGAGCAAAGTGTAGAACTTGAGCCCTCTCAGGAACCCTCTGAGCCAGGTAGCCAGCTGCAAATGTTCCTTTCAGAGAGGCAGTATCCTTGTGCATTATGTGGAAAGGCTTTTAAACATCCAAGCAATCTGGAGCTCCACATAAGATCTCATACAGGTACAATTATTTGACACTTTCAAGGCAACTATTTAATTACAAAATTTTGAAAGACAGAATACAATCCTAGCAGCTTAAAAGACATGCATGGCACAGTAATTATGTCTGTACATTATAAATGGCAATCGTATTCCATGATCTTGATCAGATAATCATCCAAGTGAATGTGATGTTTAGAAATCATATTTTCCCAGCAAAGGTGTAAATACATTTCTCTGACAAAGGCCTGTCACTACAAGTTTTACATAAACTTGTTTGACACCTTATATTTGACATACTTCCTGCATGAGCAGCAGGATATATTTCTTTGCTGTGTAGCTGTACATGTAGCTTATAAAAATAATATGATGGCACTCTGCAACTGACATTTTTGTCAATAGATAGTTGGACAGGAAAACATAGTTTGTAAAAGCACTCCCTTTCATTTTTTTTCTTTTACCTATGTCAGTATGATCGTGTTATATATACAGTGATGCTAAAGTGCTTGCAAAGTCAGATCGCTCCATTGGATGGAGTGTTAGAGTTCAGATCATGGGAGACTTGTTTGCAAATCCTGCCTTAGCTGTGAACTCACTAAAGTGCTTGAGTCCATAATTCTGTGCCCATTTATTTGAAAGTCAGTCCCACTAAATTCAGAGGGACTTGCCTCTCTTTAAACATGTGTAGGAGCATGCCTTAAACTAAGGATGGGGAACACATTGGACTCCAGATGTTGAGCTGCAGCTCCCACTGTCCCTCCCATTACCTAGAATGGCTTGGGCGGAGGAAAATTGCCATCCACCGAAGAATGGATGGCACTCCACTCCTGTCACCACTCCACTCCTGTCACTCTTGTCACCTACATTTCTTTTAAGCCTTAGCAAAACAATAGTACTGAACTAAATTAGATTATTTACAGGCCTGTTGTGAATAGGAGCAATACAGGCACCAACACATCCTGCAAGAGCAAAATGAGGTGTCCTCCAAGCAATTTCCCCCTTCTGCAACTATATTGAGCAAGTCCTCCTTTCACTTGTTTAGGGGAGGAATGACACCCTTGCCCCAGCCATTTCTTTGCAAGGAAAAGTCCACCCCACACAGGACACTTATGCATAAGGAGTGAATTCCTCCCCATATCTCCAGCTGATCTTCAGCAAGGAGACTTTTTCTTGCCCCCTGAAAATGAAATGAAAAATTGTATGGTGTGAGGAAGAAAGTGAGCAAAAGGAGACAGAAGAATGAAGAAATGGCTAACAAAGAGACTGAAGGAATTGATAAAGGAAAGTTAGACAAGATAGAGAGGAAGATGGAAAGGAAAAGAGAGAGAGAGTAGCCAGAGAAGACAAAGGAGGCAAAGAAAAGGGAGCCAGAGGGGAGGGCAAAAGAGAGAAAAAAGGAAGAAAGAAGAAAGAGGAGGAAGTAGACAAACAGAAGGGAGCCAGAGAGAAAGAGAAAAACGGGTGGGGGGGGGCGACAAAGGGGAGCCAGGAAGAGAAATGCGAGAGTGAATAGCACTCAGGTTGTACATTCATGTGCAGATATTTTTGTGATTGGCAGCCTATTTGTGGTGCCCAGATTTTCCAAAATACCAAATGTATGTATGGGCCTAAAAAGACCCTGGATGTTGGGTATGGATGCCATCTATCTTTCAAAGGATTACTTAAATAATAATAAAAAGGGTGGGCTATATTTTTGTCTTGTAAAATACCTAGCACTTGGGTTTAAGGATGATTGATTTCAGAAGGCTATTTGAGCATGTACTCCTGAGTTTTCCTACAAGTAAATTGGATTTAAAAGTGCTTAAGTCTATTTCCAGGATATATAAAGTTGATTAATACTAGGAACTAATTAAAGAACATTAAGTTGATTCAAAGATTAAACAATCAAGTAAAAATCACATCTGCTTTGCACTAAAATCTCAGGGTGCTTTTAAAAGATAATTTATGAGAAATCTACTCTTTTACGATATATTTTCAGTGTTTCATATTCTGAGTAATAGTAACATGTCAGAACCAAAGTAGCATTAAAAGTATGCTTTTTATGTATAGCTTTCTGACAATTAGTCTTCATTAATGAAATTTCCTCCCACTGATAAAGCTTAGATGATCCATTTGTTTGCAGTGTTAAAATGGATGTCATTGTGGGTGAGAGATTTTGTTGAGTGATCTTACTATCTTTTGGGTAGGTACCGTTTTGTAAATATAATAGGTTGGAGCTGGGGCAGCCCCCACAGCCCAGTCTTCAGGGATCCCTTCTTCCAACACCATAGCTTATGCCTTATATCATAAAGTGCAGCTTTTGGGAGACGGGGTGTTGAAGGGACTGCTCTGCAGAGTGGGAAGTATATTTCCACCTGTCCCATTGCATGCAGCTAAATCTGGACGCAACTCAAATGTAATACTGCTGAGCAAACGCTTCATTCCGAAGTAGGTCTTGTGGTGTTCTGTGAGTTACAGAGGCATTTCTGTGGAGGGTTTATGGATATCAGCTGGAATGACAATTTTACTGATGACAACATTGTGAAAGGTTTACCTTCAAATATTGAATCAAAATGTTTAACCTTCATTCTCCCTCAACAAAAAATAGTGCTGGAGGTTTTAGGTGAGAATCTTAGATTTAGAATGAAACCAAGATGATCTGAACTGAACCTTGCTTTCTGCCTTTTGTGGTGGGGGGATTGTTTGGGTATGAAACCCCACACAGCTATTCCTAAGGAGATTCTGGGTTAATTTTGTGTCCCATGCATGTTCGTTTTATAATTAAATAAATATAGGAAGCTGAAATCTGGGGAAGTTCCAGCGTAGGTACTTTGTGACAATGTCCTAGAAGAACAAGACTTTAGGACTACTTATGTGTAAATTACAGTTTACAATTTGAGCTAGGGGGATTCTAGTGACCCCACAATGTAGAATTGAGGGTTCAGAATATCTTTTGATGGCAAATTGTAAATTTGTGTTCCGCTGCAAATGACAGAAGTGGAAAAATATTATTGCTTTTTCTTTTAGGTGAGAAGCCATTTGAGTGTAACATTTGTGGAAAATGTTTCTCACAGGTAGGAATTTAATACTATTAATAAGTGTCCTGATGTCTTTGAGTCTACATGTGTTGATATACTATCCAGCCAACTGGGTCTGTCTACTTCTGTAGGGAAGGCATGATGAGATTGAACAAAAGTCTGCACTCTTGCTCTAACCATTGTGGAATTTCCCCGTCACCTTCGAACTCCTAGTGGAAAGGTTGCAGCTTAGTGACAGAGTATGTGCTTTGCATGCTGAAGACTAGGGAGCTGCTGCTAGGTAGCATCAGCAATACTGGGCTAGATGGACCAATGGTCTGGTCAAGCATAAGGCAGCCTCCGATTCAATATTGGTACAGCTTTGGGGCAGTGCTGTCAAAAATGGGGTAGAAAAATCTAAGGAATGTTTATCATCTCTTTAATGGAAAAAGAATTGTCCTCTTTCCTTCACATTCTGTTAAGAAACCCTAAACCTTTTATTGCTTAGTGTGGGTTGTTAACGATCCAAGACATTCAGGTTTGAAAAGTCCCAGGTTAAAGAAATACAACTAAAGTTCCAACCAGTTTCTCATTCCACAATATTATTCTCCCCTTTCTTTTGTTTCTTTCCAAATTTATGATTTTTATTTTTAATTTATTTTTTGGTAGACCGTGTGAGCAAAACACACATTATTCTATATTTCAGCACATCAGTAGTTGTATCCTTGTATGGCTTGGATGCAATGCTGCAAAAATAGGCCTATTTTCTCCTCCCTGTGCAGCCCTCTCTATGCCTTCCTCATCTGCTGTGACAATTCAGGCAACCCCGCAGAGCAGGCTTGGAGGACATACAGGTGGCACCTCCGCCCTGCCCATTAGCCAGGATGACTCTCATGTTTTCATTTCCACTGCTCCAGCCAAACTTACATTTTTATTATAAAGGCTGTGAGAAAATTAAAGTAGCAAGGTAGGTAGTAAGATTAAGGCCAAAGACAGACATTAGACACTACCTTAGGGAGTACACAGTTACATTTCTGTAATTCTTAGTATTCTCTGGACAGAGAGTAGAGCAGGGCACAGGACTGAGTTCAGGACCCTGAGTACTAGTAGAGTGATACCACTAATCCCTTGTGCAGGAGTTGTCCCTTTCTCCAGGGCCAACATGACAGCAGGGAAGAACAGAAGAGGTTTTGCATGGAGGAAAGGGCTTGGGAAGCTTCTTCAGACCAATCCTTTCTAAGGCTGGCTGCTTCAAACAGAAGCACAACAATGCTCTGGCCAGAGCTTGATGCTTGAGTGACAAGTTGGTTTGTGGTAGCTCTTTTGGTAGAAGCAAGATTGCTAGTTTCTAGTCCCAATACTGAAAGACTACTTTTCACATGCCATGTAGTTTATATCAAGAACTAAAGGAAGATCCCCTTTTCCGATCATAACCCTTTATCAGCATGACCAGTTGGGTTAGTTGAGCTGTATTTAAAAAAAGCTTTTCTTTTGTAGGCAGGTAATCTTCAGACTCATTTACGCCGGCACTCTGGTGAAAAACCTTACATCTGTGAAATCTGTGGGAAAAGGTTTGTATGACTGTAAACTCTTGCATAATTGGCTGCATTCCCATACCTTTGATTTGGAGAACTAAGAATCAGCAATAAATTTGAGCACTTCTTACCTAGTCTTAAAAATACTTAAGTACCTCAGTAAAGACTTCCTAGTCATCTTATATCATTTCAAGCTGGCTTGAGCAGTCACTCTAAAACAGGAGTGCAAACTTGGATCAAATTATCATTCATAATCTTCCTGGTTTAGAGGGAATATGGAAGTCACAATTTTCCAATACTGCAACTTGCGGTTTGACAAAGAGGGATTGTTCTCTTTGCGGTTTGACAAAGAGGGATAGGAAAGACGGAACAAGCTTGTTCCGTCTTTCCTATCTTTGAAACAATGGTTTGCAAATTGGAACATGTCTGAATATGGTCACTATTATATTAAGCAAAAATATATCCCTGTAGATTGTTAGTCCATATTGACCCTAAGTACCTGGGTAGATAACTCTAATATACCTCAGGGTGGGGAACCTCAAGCCAAGGGTCCCAGCTTAGACTTAGGAGCCTAGTGTGATCCTCTGGGTGTAGCCTTTCCCCCAGCAACTGATAATTCGGTGGTTTCTTAGCTTTAAGTGCCATTAAGTCTGTATTCTTGTGATTGTGAGCAGCCCAGAGGTGCTGTGGCACAATTAGGCGGCATACAAATGCAATCAATCAATCAATCAATTCTGAAAGGTTGAAATACCTCTCTTAAGTGTTATTCACTGGCAATAAAAGCTAAAAGCTGTTGGGTTTTTTGGCCCCCACCAGCACTAGAAGGTCCTTCCCTGGAGCTTTTCCAAAATTGAATTTGGCCCATGGTTTGGAGGTGATGTCCTACCCCTGTTAAACTAGAAGGCCAAATCAGCACCGCTGTGAAAGTCCAGCAGTTATCAACCCAGCAGCATCAAATGCATGTCTGCCAGCAAATCCTAAGGCCTTTGAAATCATAGAATAGTAGAGTTGGAAGGGGCCATGAAGGCCATCAAGTCCAATCCCCTGCTGTTGCAGGATTAAAACAAACACATCATTCAGTTAATTGCAATAGTGATGTCTTTTATACTTCTCTTCTAAAATGGGATCTGTCATAGAACAAAACCCATTTCATTCCTAAGCAGCAGAGTAAATCTATTAGTCCAGTTTGTAATTAAGATACTTCTTTAATTATGTTGAAATAATGTACTTGTTGCAAAACCTCAGTAGAGGTGATGTTATATTTCTTCTCCTTTTTTAACCCTTCTTTTATAATATCATAGCTTTGTTGTTTCAGCAAGAATGAAATTGATGGCCATACATAAGCAAAATGATAGGTTAAATAAATCAATAACATGGTGGCAGAACAAAATAAACAGTATGAAAGTGAATCATACTGTTTCAGCACTTAAGCCAGGGAAGATTTCTGGTAGCACTTGGCTTCTTTACTTCAGAGCTGCAACCATCTAGCTGTTTCTGGGTTATGAGAACGATCAAGTGCTAAATGTAGCAGTTTCTTCTGTGACATACAATCCCAATGCGTATTTGGTCACATGTGGGTGTGTACTTGATGTTGGCACAGTCTCAGCATTTCAGGTGCTAACAGTAATTGTACTGAAGATTTCACTTCAGCATGACTCTTGCCATTCATGAAATTAGGGCCGTTTGAAAGAGGGCAGTTGCATGAATGATGGGGGCCTGTGTGCACAGCCTCCATGTGGGAGGTCTAGTTCCCAAATTGATGCCCCTGGGCCATGGCCTGGCAGCCATGCATAGTAGTCCATGTGAACAGATAGATGCTTTAAAATAGAGACACTGAAGTTCAATTGCTAAAAGCTTTATAGCCATACTTTAATTGTTTTACAGGTTTGCTGCATCTGGGGATGTCCAGCGCCACATTATTATTCACACTGGAGAAAAACCCCACCTATGTGATATTTGTGGTCGTGGTATGTTGGAAATGAAACCTCCTCAGGATTTATTTATTTATTTATTTGGCAGTAAAAGTTCAGGTTTCTTGGAGCTTTTTTTTCTTTCTTTTTTAAAATAAATTTTAATTTTATTTACAAAAACTACATAAATTATACAATTAACATAAATTACATAATACATAGACCACCAAAAAAAACCAATAACAACATTGGCTAAAAATATACATAACATCATAAACTAAAACTATACATAACATAGTACACCCATCACCCTCTGGTGTAAAATTTACAAAAGATCACCACTAAACCCTGTGTCTCTCCAAAAATACAGTGAATCTTTCACTGGATATTTCCCTTTATGTTTCTCTAGTACATATAGTAAAAAGACATTCCATATTCTTGCAAAATCATTTATTTTCCTTTCCCCTCTCCTAATTTTCAGATCACGTTAATTTATCATTAATAGCTAAGTTCCAAATTTCATTATACCAGTCAACAATCTTGAATAAATCTATACCTTTCCCGTTTTTAGCCATTTGTAAGCTGGTGGTGGTAGCCATAATAATAATCAATTCTTGTTGTGCTCTGTCTAATTATAAATCCAAAAAAGTATTCAAAAGCGCAATAATTGGGCACATCAAAATCTTTCCATAATACCACTAATTTCCTTAAATATCATTGCCCATTGTTTCTGTTTAATTTTGCACAACCACCACATAGGATAATAAGTCGCTTGTTCTTTTTTGCACCTCCAACAAAGAGGTGTTTTTTCAGAATTAATTCTGTTTAACCTTACTGGTGTATTATACCACTTCCAATTAAAACAATCCTCCTTTACTCTGATCAACAAACTCTTTGTAATTCTATTATTCCATAGTTTCAGCCAGTTTACTTGACTAATAACTTTCGTCATATCATCTTGCCAACTTTCCAAAAGTCTACATCACCCATACTGCCCTTCTGTGAGCATTTTATATATTAAACTTGTAATTCCTTTCCTATTTCTGCTATCGTCCTTCTCTGTACTTTCTACCATTTTCAAATTTAGTTAATTTTGTTATTTCACCAAGTCTACCACCCAATTTTGTAACTGAATCATCTTCAAACCCAACCCCTTCAATTCTATACAATACCCAAAAATTTTAACCAGTCCTTCAATCTAAATGTGTTCTGTTCTTTTAATACTCTCCATAACTCACCTTTCAAATTCTCAGGAAAATTCTTAATTGCAATTACTGGAATTAATGGAGAAATTACCGGGCTTAAAATCTTCCTACTATATCTCCACAGTTCCAACATATTTAGGATTTTTTAGAAATGGATTTTCTATTTTCTTTAAATCTAAAATATTATGCTCCCTAAATAAAATATTTTCCATACGATTTCTATCCTTGTTGAATTCAACATCGCCCCAAAGTAACTCTTTATAGATCATTATATTTAAAATATATCTTATTTGATTTGCTAAATAATATGTTTTAATATTTTGAAAGCCTAATCCTCCTTCCTTTTGGGGTTTATACCATAATTTTTTATTAATTCTAGTCTTTTTTCCAATTACAAAAGGGATTAATCACATTCTGCCAACTTTTCAAATCAGAATCTGCAATCTTAATGGGTAGCATCTTAAAAAGGAAATTAATTTTAGGAATAATCTTCATTTTGCACACTGCAGTTCTACCAAACCAAGATAGTTTGGCCTTATCAAACTCCTTAATATATTCCTCTATTTGTTTTTTAAGATAATCCATATTCAATTTCACCATTTTGTGTAGTTCCCATGTAATATAAATTCCTAAATATTTTATTGTATCCCTCCTGTTCCCCTCAAATAAGTCTTTCAGTTTGGCCTTATCATCTTTACTATAATTAATTAACATAATTTCAGGTTTGTCCCAATTAACTTTTAGTCTAGTTATTTTCTCAAATTCTTGTAAATGCAGCTTAAGTCTGCCTATAACTTTTATATAGGGTCTTCCAATGTCTAAGGGTATCATCAGCAAACGAATTTATCTTAACTTCTTCTTTAAATCCAATTCCTTTCAATTCTGCATCTTTCCTAATTACAATAGCTAATAATTCAATTACCATCACAAATAAAATGGGAGACAAGGTCAAGGGGCATCCTTGACGTGTTCTCCAGCCTAGAGATATTATATCTGTGATACCATCATTTACCAGGTCTCTTCTGTTGTTATCTTTATATAATTGATTTATATAATTAAACACTGTATAAACAACTCCAAATCCCATATTATCTATCACAATTTTTAATGTATCCCATTCCACCAAACCAAATGCCTTACAAATGTCTAACGCTAAAATCCCAGCTTTTAAACTATTTTTCTTTCCTAGATGTATAATATTCAGAACACTCCTCAAGACATCTGGCATCTGTCTATCTTTCAGGAAGCCCTCCCCAGGAATTAGGAGATTGCATACAGAACTAGTTCACAACCCCACTGTTCCATGTAGCACAGATGCTCCTCCCTGATCCAGCCCTGCTCAGCCCAGGCTAATCTCAGCCACACCTTGAATTTGGGAAATGATATGGCTCAGCTAGCATGCAACAACTGACAGCGTTACTAATTGTGACTGGTAGGAGAAGACACATCAGTCCACTGTGAGCAGCTGCATGCCTAGGGTGTCTTGTCCTTTGCCCAAGAACTGTGGTACCAACAGTTTATCACAGAGCATCTGGGTCACGCATGGAGTTTGCTTGCTCTGGTGTGAGGGAAATGATGGTTACATCAGCGTAGTGGAGGCCTTTTGTTGATTGTATCCAGTGAGCAGTATATTTTCTTGCATTGTTCCAGGCTTTAGTAACTTCAGTAACTTGAAGGAACACAAGAAGAACCATACAGTAGAAAAAGTTTTCACCTGTGATGAGTGTGGAAAGTCGTTTAATTTACCACGGAAGTTAGTAAAGCACAGGATCAGACATACAGGAGAGAGACCCTACAGTTGCTCGGCTTGTGGTAAGACCCTGCTTATTTTCCATTTAAAGCTAACTTCTTTATTTGGTAGTCATGTTTTTTAAAAGTGTGATTCAGTTACCATATTTGTTCCTGAAGTATAACATACTATTCAGCTAAGTATTAAGTCAAGGGCACGATAAATAACCAAAAGGTCTCCATCACATGTAGAACTCATGGGCAGCAAGCCACAACGAAAGTGCACAAATGTGCACCCCACGGCTTTAGTTGGCTGCATACAGGAACTGCGCACAGGTACTTTTAATTGCTTTCCAGTAGCAATGGTTATTTCCAGCCTTACAGAGATAAAACCATAAATAATTGCATTTTGGAAATGATAACTATTAATATGACACTAATGTGCAGGGCAGTATACTGTGCATATATAGCTCGTTGATGTAGGAAGAAACAATATTTAAATAGCTTTTCTTATTTTATAGGAAAATGCTTTGCAGGGTCAGGTGACTTACGAAGACACATCCGGACTCATACAGGGGAAAAGCCATATAATTGTGAAACTTGTAACAAATGCTTCAGTCGTTCTGCTGTCTTACGTCGACACAAAAAAATCCATTGTAAAGCTGGCAATGAAGGACCAAATATGCTAGATGAGTTTACTCAGGCAGTAGAAATTTCAGACCTTGAGAAATCCCAAAGTTCAGATTCATTTACCCAAGAAATATCAGTAACTTTATTGCCAGTGTCAGTGAAGTTTCCCATCCACCCAAATGGAAATTCATCTAATGAAGTTGATAGTTCTGGGGCAACATTTTGCAAGATGCAATCCACTGTACAACAGAATGATTGTATAAATCATCAGAAACTGAGTCTGGATCCTACTACACTTCACAAATCTCAGGAAAGACCCAGTCGGCCGTGCTGTTCCAAAGAAATGGATCTGCCACCTGAGGAAGAACCTTTGCAGTCCGATGGTGTTCCCATGATTCGTTCCTCCATGAGCACGCTGGGTAGCAGTTGTACGGAACTTAGTAGCCGTGTACCATCTACTGAATACAGAAATAGCGAAGGGCCGTTCTTCTCTAGTGTGACCCTTTGGGGGTTAGCAATGAAGACTTTGCAGAATGAGAATGAGTTGGGTCAGTAAGAGATTGTACTGAGGCTTTTGCAGCTTGTAAGAAGGTTATTCTTGAAAGGTGTTCCTATAAATAAAGCATTTATATAGTGCTTTAAAGTATTCTGAATGTTTCACATAGTACTTTACAGTGCTTAACAACAACCATCTAAGAGAGGTTAGGGTTATGCCAGTATTATAGACTGGCAGACAAGAGAGAGAGAGATTCATCTAAAATGTTCATGGCAGGTACAATTCAAAATGGTAACTTCATGATCAAGGTCAGATGACAGATTTTGTGTGCAGAGCAGGAGATCAGTACATCTAATCCTCTGAGCAGAATCCACTAAGAACTTTATGGGAGTGCTTTGGTTCATTTCAGTGAGGCTTGCTAGGAGAACTTCCTGCTGTGGGTTATCCTAGTAAGTGTGTGGAAATTACTATTTGCATTTTCCTCTTCTGTCTTAGATTGGTCAAAATCATACTTACTGACAAATAGCCTGAGAGTCCAGCATCATGGCAAATGCAAACTTGTGTAAGCATAACAGAATTTGGAAGCTTCCCTAAAGAATACTGGTGATTCTGAGAAGACAAAATCTAGCTTACAGCTTACACATGGCTACTCTTGATATGATGGATGTGAAGTGGAGCCAGGCTTTGATTTGGTCCCTGCCTTGCCCCAGTATTTGTGGTGTATTGCATTGTTGGAGTATGCATTGGTGTATCATTTTTATGCTTCTCCTTCTAGTCTTTGTCCCTCACACAGACAAAGTACTGTGAAACCCTAAAACAACGATGAGTGAAAAGGGATCAGTGTTTCCTTCCCCTTTGGTCCAAGGGAACGGAGAAGACATTGTTAAAGTGGCTTAAACCCTCCTGGTCACTGTATACTGTCCAGCCAGATTCAGTCTTGCTTGAATGTGGAGCACAGCCTGAAGGCCTTATCTTACTATCACACAGGACTTTTATGCCATTTCAAAGGTCTGGATATTTAGCTCATATCTTGCTTTTTGCACAATTTTGGTCATTGACCCATAAGTCTAGCTAGGAGAGTGGGGTTGCTATGCACAACTTCAATCCTTTCCAGAGTGAACAACTTGCTTCACCAACTAGTGTCTCAGTTCACCAGCCTTAACTTTATGTCTGCAGTCCTGTTAGCTCATTAGTCAACCCATCCTTTTCATGCAAAGCCACTGGAGCCTCTGTGAATGCTACCCACACCCATCTTACCTGGTAGACAACAATGTTTCTATCTAAAGTTTAGCTTCTTTCAGCCCACACCAGGCAGCCAACAGCACAGCCAGTCATCCCTCAAAACTCTCAAGAGAGATTTTAGTTAGGTCTCTTACCTCTGTTAATGGTGCCTAATTGAGAGGAGACAGTCCACAGCAGGTGGTGCCCTGTGGCAGGCAATGTTGGAATCCTGGACTGAGTCCCCAGATTGCTGAAGAAATTCACTTCATTAGGCATACAAATGGCACCACAAAGAGAGAAAGTCCAGTGGTGCAATTCCATGTATGGCCAGTTGGGCCATGGGGGCTGCCAGATGGTCAAAACTTGGAAAGCCAAGAGAAAGAAAAGGTCTCTTGGGACAATTGCACAACTGTGGTCATGTGCAGTTACAGAAGAACAGCTATATTTAAAGTGAATTTTTTTTTCCAGTAATTGACTGCCCATACAAGGTGCCACGTGGGTATTTTAAAGGGGCTGTCATAGGCTGTCAAAACTGAGGTCATGAAATCCAGACTTTGCAATCTCAGGGAACTTTCAAACCAGACTTTGTAATTGCAGGGGGGAGGGGGAGGGCTCAGTGATCCAAAAATGTTTAACGGTCACAATAGTGATGGCAATGTAGCAGCTACTAATCATGGACATTATCCCAAAGAGACTTTCTTTTCTTTCTCTTTTCTTTCCCAAGTGTTTGACTTTCAGAACTGGGGATTTGGGTAGAGCAATTGGTGTTTTTGTCAGGGACATAAGGCTTTGTAATCTCAGGGAGTGGGGGTAAGAGGGAAAGAGCAACCATGAGTGGAAATTGACTCATGATCATGGAAGGGAGGAGGAAGGCAAGTTGGCCCTTTGCAGGGTCCTCTGAGTTACCCATGGCAAGAATGAGGGTGAAGAGTTTGTATGGGAGCTTTCCTTTCCTCAGCAAGTGTTTACTGCTGCTGCAATCCACATTCCCAATCCTGCCCTGGCAGACTAAAAGACAGGATGGCCAAGGATTCAGAACATGGCTAGCAAGCTGCTTGCATGAAGATGTTTGTTACACAAGCTGAAAATTATCTGTAACAATGGGATCAAACAGTGTGCCCACCACATCCATCTCGGGCTTCATTGAACATGCAGCATGGAGATGAGCAATGTTACCTGCAAAATGTCATGCAGAGCCCTTGAGGGTTCTCCATTATTGACCTCCAGGTCTACATTAAGCAGGCCCCTCACCATTCAACGTAGCTTTTCTAATTACCTTGCAAGTATCTATGCATTCTTTGCTTGTATTTTCTCCTTTTCTGAAGTCAGTCAAATAAGCCCAGCTGTGCCTGTGTAAATGCAAATGTAGGTGTCATAGTGCAGCCTGCTCATTATATTTTCAGATAGATAGAATGCCCATTCCATAAGAAACATTCAAGCACAAATAGCCAGTGTGGCGTAGTGGTTAGTGCTGGATCGGGAGATCCAGGTTCTAGTCCTCACATGGCTTTGTGAGCTAGAGCCAGTGACTCTAAGTCTACCCTAGCTCACAGGGGTGTTGTGAGGATAAAATGGAGAGGAGGGTTATGTAAGCCACCGTGGGTTCCTTGCAGGAAAAAGGCAGGCTGTAAGTACTGTTAAGTAAATAATATCTTGCAGTTTCTTAGGATTTCTTTCCTGGTCCCTTTCAACCCAGAGAATGCTTAGTTTGGTATACAACTTTATTTGTTCACACAACTAGGACAAGTAGATCCTGAGCATACCTGAGCATATAGTTTGCAGATGTACTACTTTAACTTGTATGTTTTCAGAGAAGTGAGGGCACCTGCAGGAAAAAATGGGGCAACAAATCCTTGCTGATCTGATGAGGATTTGGGCTCTTGTTTGGTTACGGATGGCACTTCTGCAGGAGTGGAGGTGAGAAAAGAAGAGCCCAGGTGAGGGAACCACACAGCACTGCCAGGTCTTGCCTATCACAAATGACTGGCCAAAGCATAAATTGAAGGATGAGAGGTGTGGTGTAAATGGGAAGAAGTTTGCAAACTGCTTCAATGAGCTGTTTGGTGAAAAATCAGCATGGATGAGTAGGTGTAAAATGGCCGCCAGGAAGGAGACTGGGGAAGCATTAACAATGACTAGTTTGCAAGCTGACCAAAATGAAAAAAAAAAAAAAAAACTATTGACAAAGTAGCAATGAACCAATGAGGAAAGAGCTGAGGTGAAGTCCTGGAAGAGAACAGGGATGAAGGATGGATAGTTGGATGGACGGACGAAAGAAAGAAAAATGTCCATTGGATGCTCTTGCAAATAAACTGTGCTGCATAGCTTACTAACCCTGTAGGCTTGCTGTATTGTCTGAACCTGCCCAATGAGTGAGTTGGAAAAGAAAACTGGTGGATGGGGCAGAATAGATACTTCCGTGTTCAGAGAGAGCCCTGAAGGTTTCAAATTGACCACTGATTAGCTTTCTTGGTGTGGGTGGGGAGAGAAGGCAAAGAACACAGAGGGGGTAAAGAGAACACTGAGAACCAGTTCTGTCTCTGTCTTGTCTCTATTTCTCTTCCTCTTCTTGGTCATCACACCATTTCTTTTGACTTCCAAGAAAGCAAGCAAAAAAGAACAGGCTTAGATAATGAAATATAAAAAAGCAGACTCATCATTCATACAGGTCATTTCCTGGTTCACACTGAGTTTGTCAGGGAGGGAAATGAAATCTAAGGTTATAACAGCTGGGACTGGACACCAACCCAACATCACCAAAAGGGTCATCACAAAGATAAGCGTATCTGCTCTTTCAAAGCTCTTTCTTTTACATTCAATACAGATGTTCAAACAAAATGTAATATTAATTTTTGCACATTAAATATGATCCAAATTCCTCTTATTTCCTGCCTTTGTGTAAGCATTGAAAATGCATAAGCATTGACATAAATGTTATGACAGCACATCATACCAGCAGAGGAGATAAAAAGTCTGTGTAGTTCCTTCAGAGGAGGAACCCAAAATGGATGCACATCTCGTCCCATTTGACCTGATGGTGTTACTCTCAGAGCAAACATTTATTTCAAAACTGCATGGGCTATGTGGAATATTCTGCACAGGAGCTTTACACAGAATTTCCACACTCAATTTTTGATGGGGTAAGTTCCCTGATGGACTGTGGGAATGCTGTGGACATAATATATTTTGATTTCAGCAAAACTTATGACAAAACTCTGTAAGATATCCTAATCAGCAAACTAGCTAGAAGGAACAATGATCAAGTGGACCCACAGTTGGCTACAGAATTGGACTGAAAGAGTGTCATCAATGGCACATTCTCAAACTGGGAGAGGTACTAAGTGGGTACTGCAGGGTGCAGTTCTGGGCCCAGTGCTGTTCAAGATTTTTATTAATGATTTAGATGAGAAAGTGCAGGGAACAATGATCAGATTTGCAGATGACGCAAAACTGGATGGGATAGCTAACACCCTGGAAGACAGAAAAGGGTTTTGAGTTGGTCTTGATAGGTAGGAGTGCTGGGCTGAAAAGAACAGAAAGAAATTCAATAGGGTCAAATGCCAAATTCTGCACCTAGGAAAAAGAAGCCAAATGCATTGTTATAAGATGGGGAATATTTGGCTCAACAATCCTGAAGTTGGCAGGATCTTGGAATCGTTGTGTATCACGATGTATATGTATAGCTGAATATGTGTCAGCAATGTGATGTGGCTGCAAAAAGGGCAAATGCTATTTTAGGCTGCATTAATAGAAGTATTGCTTCCAAATCACATGAAGTACTAGTTCCCCTTTACTCAACAGTGGTTAGGCCTCATCTGGAATGCTGTGTCCATTTCTGGGCACCACAGTTGAAGAAAGATGCAGACAAGCTGGAAAGGGATCAGAGGAGGGCAAGAAGGATTATCAGAAGACTGGAAACAAAGCTATAT